CCATCCATCCATCCATCATCTTTACCCGCTTCTTCCTTTTTGGGTCGCGGGGGTCACTGGTGCCCATATCCAGCAGTCACTGTGCGAGGGGTGGGAGACACCCTGGACAGGTCTCCAGTCCATCACAGGGACACATAAGAGACAAATGAAACAAACAACAGTTCACTCTCTCAGTCACACCGAGAGACAATTTAGAGTTACCAATCAGTCTAACATGCATGTTTTTTGTCTGTGGGAGGAAACTGGAGTACCCGGAGAAAACCCACACATGCACGGAAAGAACATGCAAACTCCACCCAGAAAGGTTCCGGGCCAGGATTTGAACTTGCGACCTTGCTGGGAGGCAACAGCTCTACCAACTGCACCACCGTGCTGCCTGCTTTTATTCTTTGAACAGCCCTTTTTAAAGCACCAAAGGATCAAATCACTAAAACTGATTTTACAAAACAGAAAGAATCATTAAAGACTAAACTGTAACTGGTAATTTAGGTTAAGATAGCTGGTAAAATAAAATCTATAAATCAAGAGTTGTCAATAAGAAATAAGGTGAGCTGGAAGCGTCAATAGAAGCATCAGAGATACGGCTGCTTATTGACAGCTTATGAACCAATCTCCACACTGCAGGCTCAACAGGAAGCACTGTGTCACGCGCAGACCTGTCTCTGCTGCGGCTGTTGTTCACGAAGCTAAAGGAAGAAGAATTTAGGTGGAAACTAATTGAGTGTTAAGATAATTTTATTCAAAGCACTGCTCTCTGTAACTGCATCATCCAGCCAGGAGTGACGTGCCGCCAGCATTTAATTTGATTTTAAGAAGTCTTTCAGTAGACTAGGCTGATGTTCCTGTAATGACTGCTGCCTTTTCTTATAGATGTAGTAATTTACAGAGCAGAGGGACCGGAGAACCACAAGACTGTCCAGAGACGTCTGATTATTTCTGTACTGCTGTCTCACTCATATTAACATAAATATAATATAAAGTATATATTAAAACGAATGAACCCAGAAGGCAGACCTAAGTGAGATGTAAAAATGAAAACTTGAACTTTTATTAATAAACTAGAAAAAATAAAAGGCTAGCGTGACAGCACACAAGAAAATTCTAACTTAAACTCATAACGACTAAACGGAAGACAATTAATGCCCCCCCCCCCCCCCC